GGGAGTAACCACTAGAAGCTAATGGCCTTTTTCAGATCTCTAGGACATTCTCAAAATGTTTAAATTCATAGACCATTTTAGACTCCACAGAAAACCTACCTCTAAATACTTGTAGCAGCCCCCACCCAAGCCCACGACAATATTTTTGTTTGGTTTGGACATGTGGTTTCATCATTGTAGGATCATAGGATTGTAATTTTAAGTTAGAGTGGACCTTAGGGTCCATCAAGTCTAACCCTTTTATTTTAAATTTGAGGAAACTGAGGCCCAAGGAGGCTAAGTGACTGCCCCAAGATCACAGAGACAAGCAATAAGTATCAATGGTGGAATTTGAATCCAGGTTCTCTGGTCCCAGAGCCAATGCCCTTTCTACTGTCCTATATATGAGGAAACTTCCTTCACCAATGAGGACCAGCATTTCATCTATAACTTATAGACCCAACAAGTTGCCTGAAACATGCAGAGGTCATATGACTTGGCTGTGGCCATTCACTGAGTATATGTCAGAAGTAGGACTTGTACCCAGGTCTTCTGACTCTAAGGCTGGTCCAACATCTATCCACTTCACCACCCTGCCTATTGAGACAAAAAAAAAAGACTAATTGGAAATAACTGGAAATAGAATAATGAAGATTAATTCAATGACCTCTCTTTCTTATTTTCCTTGATCTTTCTGTAGTAATTGTTATTATAGATTTTCCTTCCTCTACTCACCCCACCCCAACCCCAAGATAGTGTGATATAATGGATAGAGTGATAGATTGGGAGTCAGGAAATGTTCAAATTCTGCCTCAGATGCTTACTAGTTGCATGTCTCTGGGTAGGTCACAACTCCTCTGAGAATCAGTTTCCTCATCTGTAAAAATGGGTATTATAACAGCACCTGTAAACCTCATAGGGTTGTTGTAAGGTTGTAAGGATCAAATATGGCCTTGGACTTCAAGTCAGGATGACCTGATTTGAAATCCTGCCTCAGAAATTTATTATCTGCATGACAGTATGCATATCACTTCACCTGTCCGGACTTCAGTTTCTTCATCTGCAAAAGGGGAGAAAGTCAGACTCAATGGCTTCTAAAATTCTTTTAAGCTATAAATCAATGTTCTTATGAGAAAAGCACTTTACAATTAAGCACTATGTACGAGTGTCCTCAAAACCTTAGAGCACCCTTAATGCATGAAGACTTTTGGGACATGAGACTGTGTGTGTGGGTGTGTGTGTGTGTATGTGTGTGTGTGTGTGTCTTTGCGTCTTTCTGCCTCTCTCTCATACGTGCATATGCACACACACACACACACACGCGCGCGCGCGCATGCTTTTATAATTATTATTCCCTCTTTAGCAACAGGATACTTTCCTGATTCTCCCCCTGTCTTTGGAACAACTCCTTTTCTGCCTTCTTCAATGGCTTCTCTTCTTCCTCCTATGTCCTATCTCTAAATATTCTCCAGGATTCATTCCTTAGGTCTTCTTTACACTCTTTCATTGAATAACTCATCCACCCACTAAGGCTCTGCTTGTGCCGTTCTCTTTGCCACGGACTCACCTATCTGACTCCCCTTCATCCTTCAAGGCCAATCTCATCCTGGAAGCCTTCCCTGACTGTTTCAGTTCATTGATTCTTTCTCTCTGATCTCTACATATTTGGTTCCTTTATATATCATTTTTGATTGATTGATTGTTATTATTGATTATTACTCTTATTGATAATTCATTTTTCAGGTTTCTATGAATTTCTCTGACAATTATGAGCTCTTTGAGGGCAGAGAGCCCTAAATGTCTTTGTATTGCCTGAGGCTAAATGTCTATGGCATTTGGAGGTCTTCAACTTTGGTTCTAACCTACTTTTCTAGGTGTATTTCCAATTAGTCACCCTCATACAGTCCAGGCCACTGATGTTTCCTATAAATGACCTTCCATCTCTTCATGCCTTTGCCCTGGCTGTTCCCTAAGTGAAGAATGTTTTCCTTCCTCTCTTCCACATCTGCAAAGCCCTAGCTCCCTTCAAGGCTAAGCTTGGCTGTCATATTCTACCAAAGACTTTTCCTGATCCTCCCAGTTATCAGGCTTTTCTCCACCTCAAGTTATGTTGGCTTTTATTTGTATATATTTTGTATTTCTCTGTATTATTTGCAGCTAGGTACAGTAGATAGAGTACTGAATTGGAGTCACAAAGACATCAATTCCAATTCTGCCTCAGACACTAGCTGTGTGACACTTAACCTCTCTCAGCCTCAGTTTCCTCATCAGTAAAATGGGGATAATAATAGCACCTCCTTCACAGGGGTGTTGTAAGGATCAAATTAGATAATATATGTAAATTCATCTTGCCAACCTTAAAACATTATTATTATTGTTTTCATCTTTATCATCATTGTTATCATCATCATCATCATCATCATCATCATCATCATCATCTTGTCCCACCTGCTTCAAGCAAAACATAAGGTCTTTGAGGGCAAGATTGGTTTCATTTTTGTCTTATCACCAGCCCCAGCATAGTGCTTTGTGCATAATAGTTGCTTTTTGGATTGAATCACATCCTCCTTTCCCCACAGCATTTAGTACAGGGCCAGGCACAGAGTACGAGTTTAATAAATGTGTGTGTTCCATCTTATTTTGCCACAAGGAATTGGCTTCCAGCTACACCTTAAGGACCCTTTTAGAACCCAATCTAAGGAGCATCATTCTAAGGCACTAGCAAAATATGGCTTCAGAGATTCAAAAGAACAGACTATAGTTGTCCCAAAGCCTTACTTACTACTGGAGAAAATCCTTGGCCCTAGAGTCTCAGCCCAATTGTGTTCCATGCAGATGGATCACAAGTGGGTGTTGTTTTCACCAGCAAGAAACCAGCTGAGCATCTAAACAGATGCAGGAAGGTGATGAGGGTGGGCAGAGATTGGGGAAAGGACCAAGGGAGAGAGAAAAAAAACTCCTGCCTTTTGCTCCCAGGGAACAATAGGCATGTGAGGAGAACTGGGAGGATAAATTAATGCCTCAGCTTATAATTAACTGAAATAAATGCTCTGTGCTAGCTTTCAACTCCTGTAATAGTTTATTCTCAAAGAAAATATCTCAGAATTCAATAAAACTAGCACATCTCTTAACTGTTCCGTTAACAGAACAAATTTTTCCCACCATTCAGAAATTTGAGAGACACTGCAGCCATCCACTTCCAAAAGATGCAATGGGTCTTATTTAATAAGCTCCTAGACTTTATATCCAGCCAGTTTTTTCCATTTCACCAACAGGTCCTTTCCCAGCATCTGTTTGGGGCTCCAGTTACTGATTAATGCATTTTCCTGGTATATTTTTCCTTTCACATTCTAATAACTGAGTTTGATCCAATTTAGCTAGCAAGTGTAAGGGTTTATTAGAAAGTATGGATGGGGATGAAATCATGACCACTGACCTCTTGTTGGCCACATCTCCAAATGGAGCAGGCTCCACACTGTGAGTCAGAATGGGGGCTGTTGCCAGATAAGATATAAAAATTGTTGTAATTTACCTACCTCCAAGGGTAGAGGAAAGGGCAGTTAGATGGCAATGGATGGAGCACTGGGCTTGGAATCAGGAAGACTCATCTTCCTGTGTTCAGATCTGGTCTCAGACATTTGCTATCTCTGTGACCCTGAGCAAGTCACTTAACCCTGTTTGCCTCAGTCTTCACATGCAAAATGAGATGGAGCAGGAAATGTCAAAACACTCCAATATCTTTGCCAAAAAACCCAGATGGGGTCACGAAGAGTGAGACAGGCTGGACAACAACAAAAGGGTGTGGGAAGTGGTCTCTGGGATTCAGGGAGAATATCGTAATGCTAGGTGGATCACAATGAGTGTATGTGGTAGCACACAGTTTGAAATATTAGAACTGGAAGGAAATGTTGAATAAACATATCCACTTAATCTGAGTTGACCACAAGGAGCCAGCTTACAGCTACACCTTAAAAGGACTTTTAGATCTTAATTTAAGGATCACCACTTCAGGGCTCTAGCAAAATACTGCTTCAGAGATTCAAGAGAATACACTGGAACTGTTCCAAATGCTTCACATGCTACTGGGGAAAGGCCTTGGCCCTAGAGCCTCAGTCCAATGGTTCCACTTAGAATGGTTCCACACATGAGGAAATTGAGGACATGCTAATACCCAGAAGAAATTTCCAGTCTGGTAATCCTGGGAAGGGACAAGCATGAGCAGTCGCATTTATACCCTTTTGGTGTCAGGAACAGAATATTTTTTTTTTCCCTTTCATGTGAGTGTAAGTTGATGCAGTCAGAATATGTTGGAACCCATCTGAAGATCAAAATTGCCTCCCCCTTTCCCCTGAGGCATGTTTTTCATGCTTGAAGTTTCTCTGCAATCAATATGCTTAGTTAATGGATGCAACCCATGAGCTCTCTCCTCCACTCCCCAGCCAGACGCACACAAAAACAAAGCAGGGATTTTCCAGAGTTTGAACATATTAATCGATTAAAAAGAAAACACGCATGCTCTCATTTGTGTCACTGGATGATAGAACTGCAAGTGATGAGTGAACTGAGCCCCGGGAGCCTAGGCTCTGAAGTGCCCCTACGTCAGGAAAACATTATTGTCGAGACCATCTCTTTGTAGCCTTTGCCCCTAAAGCCAACCCGCCCCGGGCTTCCATCTCTACACAGCCCAGCCACACATTGTCACCTCAGCCGTGAGCAGAGGGCGTCAGGGAGAGGAAAGGAGCGCAGGACGTGACCTTAGAAGTCTTGGATTTAGGTCCTGACGCTGCCACTTACTGGTGGTGAGATCTTAAGAAGGTGCCTTCCCTCCACCCAGTCACAGTCTGCTCATTTGTCAAGTGAAGGGTTGGGCTACCTTATCTCCCAATTTCTTTCCAGCTCTATCTTCCCCTAAGGGAAGGCGCTGCCCTCTCTCCTTGGTCCTGATCCCTAGAGCTCAGCGTCAGTCCGTCCTTCCCTCCCTTCTGGCCCTGGCCGGGGCCGGCCCGCAGGGTTCCCCGGGCTCAGACTCGGCCCGGCGGGGGCAGCGGCTCGCTGCAGCTCGAGCTCCTCCATCGCCTCTGGGCCGGTCCAGAGGCGGCACTTGCCGGCCCGCCCTTGGCTGGGCTGGAGGACGAGAGACTGCGGCGGCGGCAGCACAGCTCCCACAGCAGCTGCCGGAACTCGGGCCGCAGCAGGCAGTAGAGCAGCGGGTTGAGGCAGCTGTTGGCGTGCGCCAGGCAGATGGTCACCGGGAACAGGTAGCTGTGCACCAGGTAGTAGGCCCGGTCCCAGGGCACAGCGTTGAACTTAACCAGCACCCCCCAGAGCGTGATGGCGTGATTGGGCAGCCAGCAGAGGAAGAAGGCGAGCACCACCACCGTCACGGAGCGAGTCACTCGCGAGGGCCTCCGGCCACTGCCGGGGGCCCCCGACGGCCCGGCGCTCCCCCGTAGCCAAGGCCTTGGCCGCCGGCGCAGGAAGCGTAGCAGCAGCAGGTAGCAGGCGGACAAGGTGGCCAGGGGCAGCAGGAAGGCCACGGTTATCTTCTGCACGTGGTAGAGAGCCAGCCAGTCCCAGCTGCCGTCGGGGAAGCGGAGCAGGCACAGCCGCTCGCCGGCCACACTGGCCGTAGTGGAGAAGAGAGCCGTGGGCGCTGTGGCCAGGGAGGCGGCGACCCAAAGCAGGCCGCACACCCACACTGGGGTGGCCGCCCTGCAGCAGGCGGCACCTCCGTCGTCCAGGCTGCGGCGGCGCAAGGCCCCAGCCACGGTGAAGTAGCGCGCGATGCTCATTGCGCTGAGGAAGAAGGCGCTAGCGTACATGTTGAGCACAGTCAGCGAAAGCACGATCTTGCACATGGCGCTCCCGAAGGGCCAGCTGAAGTCCCGGGCTGTGTCCACCGCCCAGAAGGGCAGGGTCAGCACAAACTGGAAGTCGGTGGCCGCCAGGTTGAGGACGAAGCAGTTCAAGGCCGATGGCCGGCGTCTTTGCCGCGCCCGGACCAGCACCATCACCAGCACATTGCCCACCAGGCCCACCGCGCACACCGCTAGGTACACTGCAGCGATCAGCAGCCGCAACACCAGCGCCGCCCCCGCCGGCACCTCCACGGTGTCCAGGCTCCCGGAGCTGCGGCCCTGAGTCCCGTTGCCTGGGGCTCCCGCACACGCATTGACTGGCCGCTGGGACTCCCCACCTTCCAAGCCGCCGCAGGAAGGCACTGCCCCGACGGCTCCGGAGCTGCGTCTGCCCTCTTCTGCGTACATTGTCCCAGGCTGGAGTTGGAACGCTGGGGCCCAAGGGAATATACAGCCGTCGCCTACCTAACCCGCCGCCTACTCCAGCGCGCCAGTCACACCACTGTACGCAAGGACACCATGTCCTGGACGAACTCCGGGGCGCAACTCAGTGGAGGTGAGCATCCGTTTGGTGCTTTTAACAAGAGAGGATCCCGCCCTTGTGGGGCGACGATTGGTCAGCTGCAACTGTAGCCCCACCCCGAAAACACCGGGTCCTCTTTGCATTGGGTTCTTCTACCTCAGCCTCCTGGGGTTCTTTTGCGCTGCTGGGGTACAAGGTGCCCCTGGGAAGCGACCCAGGTCACTTGTCTGGTCACCCCAACTGCAACGTTTTCTGCCAGCATCTCAGCTAAGACTAACGGCTCGGGGCTGTCCCAATTCCTTGTGGGAGAACGCAGGCGCTGCTTTGCGGGAGTGTGGGCACGGCTTCAAAGGGCTGGAGAGAAGGAGAGGTTTACTTTGTCCAGCTCCTGGGGAGGAAGGGGTGGGAGATAGATAACATATTACGCAGCTCCCTTCCAGATTGCCTTCCCGGTGGGTCAAGTCCCCTACACACACACACACACACACACACACACAGACCCTCCCTACCCCCCCCCCCACATCCTCCTAGTCCCAGACCCCTCCCTCTTTTTCTCTTTCTCTTCCTGTCTCTCTCCTCTGTCTCTGTCTCTGTTTGTCTCTGCCTGCCTGCTGCCTTTCTTCTAGACTTCCCTGTCTGTCTCTGTCTCTCTTGTCTGTCTCTTGTTCTCTGTCTCTGTGTCTCTCCCTCTTTGTGTCTGTCTGTCATCCTCTATCTCTGTCTCTTCTTGTTCTCTGGTCTCTCTGTCTTTGTGTCTGTCCGTCACCCTTTCTGTGTCTCTTATTTCTTTGAATATGACTAACTTTGTGTCTCTCTCCATTTCTGTCTCTCCATCTCACATTCCCTCCCCGACTTGGCACACTACCCTCATACTTTCCTAACCCCTACCCCCTTTCTAGAGAGACAGATTAGCTTGGTTGGGTGGGGGTGAGAAGGAAGGAGTCAAGCGCAGGATTCTAGTTGGGAAATGGCTACTTTGCAGCTGTATGAATTTGGCCAAGTCACTCCATCTCCACGAGCCTCAGTTTCTCCATCTGTAAAATGGGGGGGTAACAGTACCAGAGCCACTTACCTCATAGGGTTGTTGTGAGGATCAGAGAAGATTGTGAACATAAAACTTTGTGTCCAATATTTTTTAAAATGTGAGCCATCCTCATGGGATGTGATGCTGAGAGCACCTTGGCCTTGGAACCACATTTAGGTCCAAGTCTTGGCTATACCACTTACTAGGAGAGTGACCTTGGGCAATTATCTTGCCTCTCTCAGTTGGAGTTTCCTCATCTGTTTTAAAAATAGGTTGGATTTCTCAGATCCCTTTCAGCTCTCACATTCTATGATTATGTGGAGAGGTAGTGTGGTACAGTGGATGGAACACTGGACCTGGTTATCAAAAGACCTGAGGGAAATCAGGGAATTACAGAGTTAGAAGGGATCATGGAAGACAATCAGACCAACTTTATTCCTATAGGACAACCCCAGGCAGGTGCTCATCTGTTCTCTATTCACAAACATTCTGAGATGGGGTCACTAACTCCTGAAGGAACCCATTCAACTTTTTGTTGATATTCGGTCACATCCAATTCTTTGTGACCCCATGGACCATACTGTCCGTGGGGCTTTCTTGGTGAAGATACTGGTTTGCCATCTCATTCTCCAGTGGGATTAAGGCAAGCAGAGGTTAAGTGACTTGCCCAGGGTCACACAGTTAGTGTCTGACAACTTCCTGACTCCACATCCAGCACTCTATCCACCGAGCCATCTAGCTCCCTCCTGATTCAACTTTTAGACAGCTCTAATTTTTAGGAAGGCTTTCCTTGCTTAGAGCTAAAATCTGCCTCTCTGTATCTTCTACCCACTGCTCTTATTTCTGCCCCCTGTGGCTGGACAGAAAAAGCCCGTCTCTCTCCACACAGTAGCCTAGTAAGTATTAAAAGAGAGATCCTGTGCACTCACAGTCTTTTCTCCAGGTTAAACACTCCCACTCCCCCCAGCATGTCTTTTTTTTTTTTTTTGACCTGATGTTCAGCTTTTTCTGCATCCTGGACACTATCTCCAGGTTTGAGATGTATGCATCACTCTGGGTAGCAATGCTTCTTAAACTGAAAAGTTAATGGAGATATAATGACTTTCACATTGTTTCACTAGAATACTTAAACATTCATTTGGGATGTCAGGCTCGGCTAAGATGAAGAATTGCCTGGAGGCCTTCCATTGATCGCCCAGTTATTCCACTCTGCGCCCAAAGCAAACTGCAATGAAGTGGCTCAATTGTGACCCAAAAAAGCAAGTGCTTCTGAACAGCAATTAGAAAGATTTGTTTTACTAAAATCTTTGTTTTACTAAAATCTTTGTTTTACTAAAGATCTTGTTTTACTACGCTCCACTTTTTTTGTATTTAGAAGACATTTCTTGTTGGCAATCCTCCTGAAGCTAAAATATCTGATGGAAGCATGACTTGCTATATCATAAAAAAACCTTGCATTTGGAGCCCAAAAACTTGGGTTCAAACCTCAGTTATACTACTTTGCTAACTTTGTGACCTTAGGTAACTTCTCTACCTGTCACTTTTCTCCTCTGAGATATGAAAACAAATCATTTGGCAAGCCTTGTCAATTCAAGTTCCATATTTATCTCATCCACCCTTTCTTTCTACTTCCACAGCCAATTAATTACCTAGTTCAGACTTAAATCACCTCTTGCTCGGATTATTGCAATTGTCTCCTAATTGGTCTCCTTGACTCCAATATTTCCTCTTTCCAAATCATCTCTCACATTGCTGCCAAATTGATATTTCTAAAATATGAATGTGACCATTTGCAAAAGTCTCCGGGACTCCTCATTGCTTTTAGGATGAAATATAAAAGCCACACTTTGAAATATAGAGGACTTCAAAATCTGACTCCCAGTCATCTCTCCAATCTTATTTCATACTATGTATTAGCTTTCATGAACTTTCTGTTCCAGAGAAATTGACTTTCCTGCTGTTTTTCACATATGATATAAATCTAGCTTCTGTGTCTTTGAATAGGTGGTTCCCTATACTTGTTAAGGACTTTCTCATAGCTGTTAACCCATAGGAATCCCTATCGTTTTTCTCTTTTTGGAGGCAATAGGGTTAAGTGATTTGCCCAGGGTCACACAGCTAGTAAGTTTTTGAGGCCAGAATTGAACTCAAGTCCTCCTGATTCCAGGCCTGGTACTCTATCCACCTAACTACCCTATAGCTTTTTTCAAAACACCGTATCCTACAAAAAGTTTTTTGTGGTACTCATGAGTTTTTGGTTCTCTCTGTCTCTGTCTCTGTCTCTTTCTGTCTCTGTCTATCTCTCTGTGTCTCTCTCTCTGTCTCTCTGTCTCTGTTTGTCTCTGTCTGTCTCTCTCTCTCTCTTTCTCCGTGTCTCTCTGTCTCTCTCTCAATATTTGCTTACCTATGTAGTTGTGCTCAGTAGAAAATAAGCTCCTAGGGGCAGCTAGGTGGTGCAGTGGATAGAGCTCCAACCTTGGAGTCAGGAGGACTGAGTTGAAATCTGGCCTCAGACAGCTGTGTGACCCTGGGCAAGTCACTTAATCCTGATAGCCTCACCAAAGAAAAGAAAGAAAGAAAAAGAAAAAAGAAAACAAGCTCCCTGAAGGCAGAGACTTTCACTTTTGCTTTGGCATCCCAAGTGTGCACACAATGACTTGCACATAGTAAATACTTAAAATATGTCTAGTGAATTGAGTTGGCTGTTGGACTAAATGAATTAGATGATTTAAAAGCTTTCTTTGAACTCTAAAGCCAATAATCCTATGATCTATCTAAATTAGCAAATCCCTATACCACATTATTCAGTTTGAATGTAGGAACAGTCACACATTTACAATGAGCTAGAGGTTTTCTGAAGCTAACGCCTATTGGCTCTCTGAGCAGACTACATTGCAAAGATTCCTGTCCAATTCAAAGGAAAGAGTTTTCAAGGTGAATCAAGTGGCTCTTCTGAACAAAAGTGATGATTTTTCCTTTGTTCTGCTCTAACTTTGTATGCCAATACCATTGTGAGTACCATTTCTTTAGCTGAAAATAAGATGGGAGAAGCCTTATATTTCACTTTTGTTCGCCAATGTAGTTAATCATTTTGTGGATGAAATGGCCATGAAATGGCACAAGATGGGCAGGAATGGACATGGTTTCATCTGCATCACTATAGGGGATGTCCACACCAAGCTCCCAGATCCAATGCATTCAAGTATTAGCCATTTATCTGCCTCATAAATTTTAAACAACAGTTCTGGAAAACATAGAGATGGACTGGTGATCTTTTAGTGATTCCCCTAGTCATTTCAGCTTTATCCTCTGGTCATGACATGGCAGTAGCTCGACTTCAGGACATTATGAATGCCAAATGCCTATAGGGATTCTCCAGCTGGATAAACCACAGGACACCTTAAATTCAGCACATGCACAACCTAACTCATTTCCTTCTTCTTTCATCCTTCCCTCCACTCCTTCTTTCCTACTTCCCTCCCTTCCTTTCTGCCTTTTTCCCACTCTTCCTCCCTCCCTTCTTCCCTCACTTCCTCCTTTCCTCTCTCCCTCCCTTCCTTTCTTCTTCTCTTTCTTTTCTTCCCTTCCCTTCCTTCCTCTATTTCTCCCTCTTTTTCTCTTTCTTTCTTTTGAACTCATTCTGTTCCCCTACCCCCCAAAAAACCTATTTCTCTTGCTGACTTCAATTTCACAATTCAATTTAACAAATCTTTATTAATCTCTTACTATGTGCCAGACACTATGCTGGGTGCTGGGGATACAAAGACTACCTCCCAGATCAATCAGTCAACTTCTGTACATTTATTTGACACCTGCTATGACCTATTATGTGTCAGAAATGGTGCTAAGTGCTAGAGATAA